TAGCTGTGGCATTGCAGTTTGGAAAAAATGTTTTCTGCGGGGATTTCATAGCTCGGGTCCAGCACTTTGATTAAATACATGAATCCATCTTTCTCCACTGAGTTAAAAGACATAACGTCTTTAGCTAGACAAAAACCAATCGTGTGAGAAATCGTTTTTCATTTTTCTCCTCTTGGAATGTTGCTTGTACGGCGCAATGGCCGCAAAAGATGCCATGATTGATTGCTGCTTTGGTTGTTTGGCTGCTAATGCTACACGTGCTTTGTGCCAAACTGACAGCAGTGACAGGCTGTGCAGACTCCGCTTTGTGGTTTTTGATTCACCACGTCACTTTGGAGGTACCCAAACTACCGCAGGCTGTGCAGACTCCGCTTTGTGGTTCTTGATTCACCACGTCACTTTGGAGGAACCCAAACTACCATTTGGAGGTACCCAAACTACCGCCACAAAAACAACGTACAGTAACTTTTCTTCTCAACAATAGCCTCATTTTTGACAGAAAACTCCTAGTCATGGCTGACATCAGTTTTGCTGCACCGAGTACCACGTTCCCTCATCCTGTTTAACTGTTTGATCAACTTCTCCGGCAAAGGAAGTGGAGCAGTAAGGGTCGACTGATTGGCTGATTGCATTTAACCATCTGACCACTAGTTGATTGTAAAGGGACTGCATAAATTTGCAAGTATTTGAGACTTTCTTATATTTTTCATTTGTTTATCAAAAAAAATCCAGCTTTTAATTGTTTTCTAGCAGTTATATATGTGAGCCCTTTGTTCCAATTTTAGTAACCTGATGTTAAGCACGTAACAGCATTGTGTGTTTACTATGCTGACAGCGTTCCTACATTTAAATTACTCTTTCATCCTTCTGCTGTGACTCCCTGTAGCTTTAGAAAATAAATAAATAAAATAAAAAATATTGAATACTTAATTTAAATGTATTTTATTGAGTTTGTTAATTTTTAATTCTGTAATTCTAAATTTGAAGATTATGGTGCTGTTTTAAAACTACTGCAAAACCTGTTTAATTTCATTTCTGTCTCAAAAAACACATCACAGCGGCTGACAGGTGACACTTGTCGGTGTGCGACATTTATTAGACTTTTCAACACCGTACCCGACACGTTAGGGGTATTAAAACATATATTTAGCCCTGGTGAGAAAAACGTAATAAGAGACCAATAAAATTATGTATATTTAATACATTTTCAATTTTGGATATCGGCCACATTTCAAATGTCCATTATACTTGAATGCACCACTTAGTTGACGTAACCCCAATGGGGTCATGGGAGCCTAGGCCCTCAACAGCCAATCAGGAGCTACGCAGGTCATGTTCAGTTTATTAGTGAGGAGGAAGTGTAGACGCGTTGTTTCTTCGGTCCTTTACGATATTAGCAGAGGGGAGTAAGTCCGAGAAAGAAGAAAAACGACGAGTACATAATTGAATGAGGCAGATAAACCAGTGCGCTCACCTGCTGGGAGTCGGGAGCTGAGTGAATGAATGAAGGGGAGGAGTTACGACGGTAAGACGGGTATTGGATAAAGAACGTCCGTTAACGCACCTTACATGCTAATGCTATTCGGCGTTTGACAGGCTAATTACGTATTCCATTTTGTGAGCCGCTACAAACCCCAACTTTGCGTTCTTAACTTTAAACATAGAAAAACGGTGTGCTTCTTTTAGCTGTTGTGAATTATATAGTTACATTGTAGTTTTAGTCATAGTTTATGTTGTAAACGTCAGTTTTAAGTAACTTCTCCCTCTAGTAGTCCTATAGTTAATGAGGAGTGATTAAACACAATTCTTTGATACCTCTGTAAAAAATTCACTTAACGCATTATTTGTTCGTTATTAGTTTATTTATTCATTCATTATTCATTATTGGTGTTGTATTTTAAATGTTAGTGGTTACTTACCATAGCAAGTATTATTTAGACGCTGTTCACTTGAGTTCTTGAATGTTTACTCCTCATATTGGAACATTCTCGAATGTTTAATGTTGTACAACTGAAACATAGGGTTGAGATTTAAGATTTGTAAATCGAGGTCAATGCAATATGTAAAGTTTTGACATTTAACCTTTTAATGTTGCATCTAAGAATAGAATGTAATAGATGTGACCTTGTCTATAGGTCAGGCTTCTGAGAGGATGGGAGGGTTTGATGACCAGGACAAGATCCCAATAGTATTTGATGGCGAGCTATTAGCCCTGAAGGCGAAGACACAGACAAGGAGATACAGGTACACACACATGCGCATACACACATTATAATATTTCCCAGTATTATTGTAAAAATACAAGTGGCTACCCAACAATCATTCTCTGCCCCATATATGGCTCCTAACGTATTTGGTGTCTTCTAATTCTATCCATGGATTTATTACTGGCCAAAATGTGATATTAGACTGTGATTCACTTTTAGATCTCATAAATTGGTAACATATACATATCTATCTTCGGATCCACATATTCAGGTCAGCAGGTCTTCTTCAACATAAACAATGTTGAAAACAAAAATTGTCTCACAATTATTTTAAAGACTTTTGTGAAGAATGAGGTGTCTAACAGACAAAGAGCAAAAACCACATAAAACCAAGTGAAATACATGTAATTTTGTTATTTAGCTTTTATTTTGCAAATGCATATTTTACTTTAATCAGTGATGAGATTGACAGCTACTACTCGGCCCAGTACACATGGTTATAGAGCAGATGGCATTTTTGGTTCATGTTTTGCTGTTCTGTTTTGCCTTCAACCCAGCATCTTATTTATAAAATTCAGTTTTAAATGTAATTCCCAGTGTTTCTTATTCATTAAGGGGGAGGAGGAGGGTCCAAATGGTTCCTACAGTGTTAAATGTTGCCGACCCCTGGTCATGCCTATAGTATTGTAGCAGCGTGCGATGTTCACCCTCGCCCAATGCAAGTGTCTGCTGTATTGTTCCCCCAAGGACGCAATATATAAGTAAGTTGGTTGTATCTTTAACTCCTCTTTCAATCTTCGGTTCCGTCACTGCCTACTACCTGGTTACCTTGTGTCCTTTCCCAGCTGCTTTCAGCACAGGTAATGTAGTAGCTGCCAGTAATCATGGGGAAATCATGCTGTTTGACTCACAATCTAATTAGCTTCCTGTTTGACCATCTAATGTGAAGGCTCACATGCTATTTTCTTAAGATGTTTGGCATCCTCCCTCTGCTGTACAGCGCAGGTGGTCCTCCACTCTGTCTTAGGTGAGAAAACACCATCTGATCATGAAGTTAGCCTGATGGCTATTGTTGTCATTCCCGTGTACAGCCTACGCCTGGCTGCTATTTCTCTCTGCATTATTGGGCTTTGCTGCGCTTGGTCTGTTGCATGTGGTGCTAACTGTGCGCCCCTTAAGGTAACATGTACCCAGACGCTGTCAAAAAAAGTGCCTTGTTCCTTAGGGAACCAATTTGTTTTACGTGTGTCCTTGCAAACTTTTACTATTTATCTTGTCTTTCTTTTTCATTTTCCCTTGCGTTTGATAAAACAGTTAATTTGGTTAAGTTGGGCAGTGGTGGTTTAGTGGTTAAGGAAGCGGACTTGGGTCGCAGGTTGCAGGTTCGAGTCCACCAGCTGCCAAGTTACCACTGAGGTGCTCTGATCATGGCACTGTCCCCACACACTGCTCCCTGGGTGCTCACAAAGCTGTCTACTGTTCACTTTGGTGATGGGTTAAAAGTGGAGGTCACATTTCGTTGTGTGCAGTGGTGTGTGTCACGATGTCACAATGACAAGTAGTTCACTTTCCTTTCCACTTTACCTCCTTTGTGTCGTGTTAATGAGTCAGCAACAACAATTACCATCATTCTTCTGTAAATCCTCGCGTTCCCTAAATGCACGCTTCCGTCTTTTGTGAGATGCTCTAACAACACTACCGCTGCAATTGTTAATAACATTTTCTTGTTGCATTCTTTCACATCCAGCCATATAACTGCAAACATGTTTGTGGGTTCATTTGAACATCACTCTGATGACTACTTGTTTTTACATTATTAGCAGTTTCCCAGCATCACCTCGAAGTTTTGCCAAAGGCTCACAGCTGTAGAAATGTGCGTACGCCAGCTAGAGCTGTCGGGAGTCCCGCACATTTCTACGCTCAATTCATTTTTGATACATCTGAATGTGAGCATGGAAAAGGACGTACACAACTTTTTTGCAACGTTTGTACATGAGACCCCTGGTGTCCTGGATGGTGGTTCCTTTCTTTTGTTTGTTTTGGTGTTTGTTTGGTTTGTGTTTTTGTTCCGCGGTCCAGGTTCTTCTCAACTGTGTGTGGTTGTCACGAATGAGTGGGTCAACCTTTTTCTCACACGCACGCCATTCTCCCTGCTGGTAATCCCAGCAGTGACAGATCACTTTGTTGTAATAAAGTCCAAAGATTTAATTATATCTAGAATCACGTCTTTTATCTCACTGTAGAATGAACCTGAGTGCCTTTTATTTGAGGTTTATGAATTAAGCTGTTTCCTTGGGTGAAAAAGTGGCGCTGTCTGGCTTTTCCTGACGGATCACAGCACAATTCAGCAGTAATTAGGCCACAGTACATGGCAATATATCATATCGTTGCCTGTCTCATGGTACATATTGTAACGCCAGACTCTTGCCAATACACACAGCCAATTTTAGCCCAAAATCAGAAATAATTAAACCATTGACATTAACTTGAAACACTTTTTTAACTGTATGGGAAAGTGTTGAGTAAATTTTGGATTGCTCTGTAAAACAACACAAAACAAAACCTGTGACTACTCAGTTTTCCCACTGATTCCTTTTTCCCTGCACAGAAAAAACAGTACAATGATGTGGCTGGAGTCCTATCTATAGTCCTGTAAAAGAGGCTAAAAGCTGTGTAATTACCGCCAAATAAATGGGGACAGAATGACTAATGTTGCAGTCCTTCCTCTCCTCCCCCTCTATCAACCCCTCACACCTGTCCTCACCTTTCTCTCACTCTCTTCCTCTGTGTGGATGTGTTCCCCCTGACCTCATCGTCTGCATAGCGAGGCGCAGGGCCAAGGTTGCAGAATTAGCTTGCGTGTGTTTGTGCGATCGCCTCCTCCACTCCAGTATTGCTGATTCTACTGTTTTCTCTTCTTTTATGCAGATGCTAGTCATATGCTGCTGTTGAGAGTGTGTCTATGTTTAATAGTGGCACAGCAGCAGGTCAGAGAGTGGGTGTACATGCTAATAATAAAAGGAATTACCGAGATGTGCCTGAGATGTGACTGCATCAGCCTCGTGATCTGAAACCGAGGCTGCAAAACAGAAGCAAAAACTGGTCACAGGGCAGGAAGTAGACTTTCATCTGCAGTAACAATATAATGTAAAAAAAAAAAAAAGTAAAGCATCTCCCCTTGGATGACTGCAGTGCAGCAATAAACAGCAACGACATTCTGTATAGATAAAATAGACTTTATCAAAGATGGTGCCTATCACTGCATTAGTTGAACTTGGTGGTCAAAACACACCATTTACTGTCTGATGAGCATTTCTCGCTGCGGCTGGATAACAGCTTAAACCTAAATGTCTCTGACTATTTCAGGCGGTTGATTAATGCCCCTGCCTAAGGCACTCCACATGATACTTAACCTTAAACCTTAAACTCTATTTCAGGCATTGCAAGTGTGGCGCAAGCACTCCTGGGGTTGCATGAGCTGCCACTAGGGGGTGTGCGAGATAAAAAAATATGATGGCGGTTTGCAGTGTTTTTAAGTGGGATTCTTCCACATAATACAGACATGTAGATAAACATTTCCTTTGAAACATGTAAAATCCAATCTGACATTTCAATAAATTATTATATTTATTTAAATGCAGGCTATAAATGTGTGTGTTATGTGTTCTCTGACCATTTGAGCAGGATTAAATATGCTAGCTTAATAAGAAAGAAAGGGGGTGCATGGCCAAAAAAGTTGGGGAACATTTGGATATCAGTAATAATATTAGGTTCTGATGTATGCACTGATCCACCTTTTTATAATTGAGTAAGGAAAAAATGCAAAACGCCCGGGGAGCAGTGTGTGGGGATGGTATAATGATGATTACGATTATGTAGCTACTCTTAGCATTCATTGATACAAGTGGACAGTTGCAGTTTACACCTTCTGCTTTGCATTGATACAAGTGGACAGTTGCAGTTTCCACCTTCTGCTTTGTGACCTTTTTTTTTTTTTTTTTAAAAAAAAAAGCACTGTCTCCACATGCCTTATGGACATGGAACTTCATCAATCCTGCTGGTTTCAGAGCCTTTTGCCCTTTTAACCTCCCCAGGACACAAACAACATCTGCTGCAGAACAACTGACAGCACAACACATATCTCTCATGCGACTGTTTGTCATCTCAAGGACATTTACTTACCTACTTGGTCATTTGGACCACCACTACCTACTTATTTCCCTGATGAAAAATGTTTTCTTTAAAACTACAGGATTCTGTTTCTGTTTGTTTTCAACAAAACTTCCCGAACAATCAGTGGGCACTTCTTTGTCTGGAGCCATTACACCACCTGTTTGCAGGCGCCAAGCGTTACTAATCCAAAGCTGCTGATGGGCTTCTTTCCTGCAGACTTAATGACACATAACTTTATGGGTGCTGCAGGTTTGCACCTCTTACCTATACCTCCACAGGATATGCACAGCAGCTGTTCGAGGACAACAACAATCCCCCACAGTCCTCCACTAATAACAAGTCCAATGTCATTCAAAGGTCATAAAGACTGGCAGTTTACTTCTGCAGAATCTGAATTACTCCTCGATCAAAACCAGCAGGCTCAAGAGCCGGCTGATAACGTTTCATTAGCCTTTAAGTTAGTAGTATTCAAAAGTTCAAACATTTCGTCCATTAAGATTGAAAATTCAATGTACGGGGTCACGTGATGCGCTCTACGTGAGAGGACATAGTTCGCCATCCTCCTGCTCTTCATACCAACTTTATAATACTTTCACGACTAAAACTCAGGTATTTATACTTATTCTGATCATTAAGGATATTCGAAATATAAAGGAACATAAATAAACAAAAGTTCAATATAATCTAGTTGTCATCAAGAAGTTTATTTATTCAGAGAATATTGTTAATGCATCGGCAATGCATCTGTCCGCAAGTTATTTCTCTGGACATAAAATGATGTGTAGTGAAGACAAAATATACTAGCATAAGATGCATAGTTGGATTAAAATAGTGTTGCTAGTTTTTATAGATTTATCAAGCATA